CTGGACTGAATGCTGCTATATCTGGTCTCTAGTGCTTGAAAGCTAATACGATCGCTTTTTAATTTTTTTTTATATTTTTAACCTGTTTCGCATTATTACTTGGCCCTTATCAAATGCATACGTAAAGCTATTATGCTGGAATAAAAGCATTAAGAGTTCTAAAGTGATCTACCTTGCGTTCGGAACTCGCACTGCTATAGACAATAGCCGCTTGAAGTGACCCTGTGTTCTGTTTACTCAAAATGCCAAAGTAATCTTCACAACCGATCATTTTACTCCTGTCCAATATGCTTCTCAAAAAAGTGGAACTAGTGCAGCTATTCTATTTACCCTTCTACATATTTCGACTTCTATCGAGGAAGAGACCACAATCATAATATCAAGGCTACCCTATCAACACTTCAGACAAACAATGTTTATTGCTAATTGTTTACTATGCTTTCACTTCTAAGCTGCATCCTACCCCAAGGATGGCCAGATATTTGAGCCTTTGGAAGTAAGTAGCTTTGATATGTGTGGATTATTGTGTGCTTGCTGGTAGCCTTTAGTTATATGTTGATTTTTTTTTTGTATATTTTTTGGTGGTGCCTTGAATGATTGGCATTGGTGGCCTCTGACTGACTGACTTTGGTCGACTGGCTTTTTCGACTGTCTATGGTTGGCTTTCTTTAGTTGGCTGTCTAGAGCTGACTGGTCTTTGCTTGACTGGCTGCGATTGTCCGGTTTCTGTTATTCGGTCTCGACCATCCGACATCGGCCATCTGGCACCCCTTCGGTTGATTTGGCTGAGACGGAGTGTATTTGCTTCAATCAAACCAGCCTATGTTGCTTTGGTTGGGGGATTCACGGCTATCTTGACTAGCACTGCTCTTAGTGGTTTGATTGAGGCAGCCTGTGCTTGATATGATCAAACCGCCTTACTGTTGGCTTTAATTGAGGTTGCCTTTGGGTGATTTAGTTGAAGCCGCCTATGTCCGGTCTGGCTGCGGGCCACTATGTTTGATCGAGCGGAGGTTGCTGGATGGGACTGCCTTGTATTAACCTTAGTTGCGGAAGTCTTCGGTTGACTATGGCTTTGGCGTTGTTGGCGTTGGCTTTGGCGTTGGCGTTGGCTTTGGCTTGGTTTGCATTCTTTACTTTTTTTTTATTTTTCTTTTTCTCATCTTTTTTTGTTTTTACTCTGTGCTTCGGTTTTTATCTTTTTTTTTTTTTTGTTCTTTGTTTTGTGTTTTGGTTATTTGCTTTTTTTTTTGTTCTTTGTTTTGCGTTTTGGTTATTTGCTTTTTATTTTTGTTCTTTGTTTTGTGTTTTAGTTATTTGCTTTTTTTTTGTTGTTGTTATTGCTGGATGCTGGGTGTTGTCTGCTGACTTCTGGCGCTTGACTATCGGCTTTCGGCCCTCGGTTGCTGTCTGCTTTCTGTTGGCCCTGCGTTCCGAGCCGCATTCGAAGCACGGTGCTTCTCGGTCTATTGTTGTGCCTCAGGACCCTCTACTCCCCTTATGAGCCTTGCTCTCACTTCTCCAAGCAGAGGTCTCATTGCAATAGTCTATCGAACGACTAGCCAATGAAGCCTTACTATGACCAGAGCACCTTTGGTTCAGACGGCAGGTAACAGGTCACACAACATGACGCCTTTACGCCATGCACTACACACTACAGCCAGGCGCCTGGTGCAGCTTCGCTAATTGAGGTGATCTAAGAATGGCGTCAGTAACAATGAACTATTTACTAAACACTATAGAGCTCCGAGTTGCCAAGATCCCACCTAAACAGAGAGAACAAAAGCAATGGTAGAATCAAGTTAATATGCTCTTTGCTATGTATGCGCATGTATACTTACCTGAGGTGTTATCAGGCCTTGATAACACCTGATCCTGATCCTGGTCCTGATCCTGATCCTGCTGGAGGGGGGACCTCCTTGAGGGCCGAGACTCGAGCTCTATAGGCCTAGTAAACAGGCCACTGCTACTGACTTACCATACTTGGATGACCACAACTGTGTGTCATCTGTTACCTACGCGAAATCCCCAAAGGCACTCGGGTCAAAGTAAGGTCCAGAGACTAGGGGCTCTCTAGAGCTACTACAATGACCCCCCTTCAAGGAGTTGCGAGGGCCCGGCGGAGGGCTCGGCGGGCCAGAGCCCAAGCGGATGAGCCTCTAAGGGGGAGAAGACAAAAAAAAAACACGTGTGGTTAGAATATTTGGTAATCAGAGCACAGCAGCAGAGTACAGACAGAAAGTCACGACATGTACTCTAAAAGAAACTATACTTACAGCTCCGCTTTCGCTCCGTTTTTGATAAGCACTGCAAGGGCTCATTGCAGTCTTTGGGACAATCGTCGCCGTGCGCCTAGGGCTAGTGGCCCCTGTTACAGCTAGAAGGAGGAAGACAAAAAAAAAAAAAAAAAAAAAAAAAAAAAGAACGAAGATAGCTTTGTAAGTATGCTAAGCTTATTCATAGTAGGGACAACAGTGGATAATCACAAGCAAGACAAAACGAAGCCATGCATAAACTATATACTTACTTGATGACAGCAGCGAGGGCACTTCTGTGGATGACCAGGTGAGGTTTTTTTTTTTTGATTTTTCTGGTCTGTAGTTTGCTGTTGAGTTGCTCAGAGTGTATCCTGGTTCTGCTCTGTAACTGGCTAAGAGTTTGTATCATTTGTGGTCTAACAGTGCTGTAAAAAGAGAGAGAAAGGGAGGTAGACAGGAAGTGAAAAGTCAGAACAAGTACAGTGCAGCATAAGGTGAGAGAGTCGAGGACTTCAGTAAGGGTGAATATTTGTGAAGTGTTGCTTACCTTTCATATTGGTTGAGGAGACTGAGCTGGAAGAGAAGAGAAAAAGCGAAAGAAAAGAAAAGAAAAGAAAAGAAAAGAAAAGAAAAGAAAAGTCTATTTTATATCGAAAGCACTCGCGAGTAAAAGACGAATGGATGAATGATGACTAGTTTTTGAAATTATTACAATAGCTAATTTTTTTTACCTTTGGACCAGGGAAAGCGAGACCGATTCTTCCAAAGTATTGACTGGATAACGAATACATATTCAGCATCTTGCTTTTCCGCGCCTGCCAGGGAGTTTATTAAAAAATGAAATAAAATGAAATATAATATATTACAATAAAATGAAATAAAAAAAGCGGCGTAACGGGGATTGAAAATGAGTAATTTGCACACCTGTGATATCATCCGTCAATTTTCATATGCTCGCAAGGTGGAGAAAGAGAAAACTCTTACGAGGTGGAGGTGGGAAGAACATTAATAAGATTCCATCCTCAAAGATATGCAGGGTCATATATACATACAACAACAAGAGCACGAGCCACATTGCTCTCTTTGTATGGTGTGCAACAAAGAGAGAAAGAAAAACAGTGAGCGGTGTGATACGACTAAAGTAAAAGGACAGGATTCAGAGCACAAGCTTATCAACACTCACCACATACTTCCATTTTTCACCAGCATTAAGCTCGAGTAGCTTTTTTTCCTTAGCAATGGGGTTCATCAGGCATTATCAATAGAGTTTGCTGTTTGACTCTCTTCTCCCATTCCCTCTCTTCAACCCTAACAAGGAATAGGATGCATTGTCGTGGGAACTGTGCTGCGGCAGTTTTTATCCAAGTGGACTTTTTTCCTTTTTTTCCTTTTTTCTCTTTTTTTTTTTTTTTTTCCTTTTTTCTCCTTATTTTCCATTTCAAAGCACCAAAGAGATACGACACGTCATTTCCTCGATACGATCGTGTGCTTTTTACTGGTCGGCATACAAACGTTGATACTTTGTTTCACCTTCAAATCTTTATATATTCTACATTGTATTGCATGAAAATATAAAATAAAATAAAATAAAAAAATAAAAAAAAAATAAAAAAGGCGCAGAGGTATTATGACGACTGTCATGTGTTACTTCCCACTACACTCTGGAGAAACGGCAAGCTGCCAAAGTACAGTCCCAACGATAGTCTTTCCCATCTCTTGTTAGGATGTTAGGAGTGAAGAAAGAAGATAGAAGAAGAGGATAAGGAAGATGGTCTCCTTTATCATTAAGAGTAAACAAGCTCGAGAGCAATACAGTTCATGCTCTGGTTGTTTATAGACAGATTTCCTTTGCGAGTCTTGAAGATAGAGTATTATTCTCACTTTCAATCGTGAGAGTCTTCTCATTATCATATGAAATACGACAGATGACATCAAAGACACGTATATTATTTTTTATTTTATTGTTTTTTTATTTTGTTGTTTATCTTGTTGATATTTTATTGGTCGCTCTTGAGCGTACAGCAAGCAAGATACTTAGTACATCGCGCCAATCACTCCTCGTCCCTTCTCCTCTTCTTGCGCGAACGTAAAAAATAATAATAAGAAGCCAATATAAAAAGGACCTATTTTGACTCTCTTCTTTTTTTTTTTTCTTTTCTCTTCTCTTTCTCCTCGGTCTCCTCGACCATCGGCCTCCACAACCAAGACAAAAAGGTAAGCAACACTCCCTCAACAATCACTCTTACTGAAGTTCTCAACACTGTCACTCTGTGCTTCACTGTCCTTGTTCTGATTATTTTCTTTCTGCTTGTCTCTCTCTATTTTTTCCACGATTAGACTACAACGACATGAAGTTGCCTAAAGCAACTGGGGCTTCATAACGCACAGCCAGGCTGCCATGCTCAGGCACCCATCCTCGAACGGCCGCACTCCAACAAAGAGCCGTATCCAACTGGCCACGCTCCAAACGGCCACGCTCCAAACGGCCACGCTCCAAACGGCCACGCTCCAAACGGCCCCGTACAAAAGGCCAGTCTGCCGCAGTCGAACAAACAGGCCTTCTCCACGGCCGTATACCCAGCCCACCCATCTTGGGATGATGGCCAAGGATTCACGAACAACCCCAAATCACAGCAGCTAGGCCACTTCCCACAGCGTGGTCTGGAAGCACTGGTACCAAAGTTCGGCGCCACTAGGCAAAAGGCGAAACCAAAGAGAGGTCGAACAGTCCATCCAGGCAAAAAAACAAAATGCCTCAAAAAAAAAAAAAAAAAAAAAAAAAAAATAACCCAAAGAAAAAAAATAAAATAAGTCAAAGAAAAAAAAACCAAAAAAAAAAAAAAAAAAAAAAAAAAAAAAAAGCCAAAAAAAAAAAAAAAAAAATAAAAATAAAAAAAAAAAAAAAAAATAAAATAAAAATAAAAATAAAATAAAAATAAAAATAAAAAACAAACCAAAGAAAAATCAACAATAACAACAACAACAACAAAAACAACAAAAACAACAAAAACAACAAAAACAAAAACAAAAAAACCAAAAAAAAAAATAATCAAAGAAAAAACTAAAAGCCAACTATTAAAGAAAAAACCAAAGAAAAAAAAACAAAAAAAAAAAACAAAAAAAAAAAACAAAAAAGAAAACAAAAAAGAAAACAAAAAAGAAAACAAAAAAGAAAACAAAAAAAAAACAAAAAAGAAAACAAAAAAGAAAACAAAAAGAAAACAAAAAGAAAACAAAAAAGAAAACAAAAAAGAAAACAAAAAAAAACAAAAAAAATCCAAAGAAAAATCCAAAGAAAAAGACTAAATATGAGCCAAAAAAGAAAAAAAAAAAAAAAAAAAAAACTCTTACTAACACAAAGCACTTTTTAACATAGCAACAATGCACATCCAAGATGCAACAATCAATGCATATCTAAGGTGGGTCCGAACGGGCATGAGCCTACGCTGGTTCTTGAATGAGCCATGTGGTGGCGGAGCCCCTTCGACTGGGAAAGGGAATGGGAATGGGAATGGGTAAATAAATGTGTGTGTGTGTGTGTGCGGGCGTTTGCAAGGCCATGGGGCCTGACCAACGGAGCACGATATGCCAGACCACCTCCACGTGGTGTGCTCCGGACAACGTCTTGGAGAGTCTTTTCGATGGAGACAAAGGAAAGCATTTTCCAAGATGGCTAAGAGTCTGGCTTCTTGTAACTTAGATAGTAGGCAGGTAAGCTAGATAGCTAGATAGCAAGCAATCCATTAATAAAAAGTGTAAAAATGATAAAGAAAAAGCTTCAGTAGAGACGGCATTGCTTGAATGATAGAAGGGTAACCTATTAATGTACTGCTCAGAAAAATGTTTGTGAAATCTGATCCTAGTCTGTCGACTCGAGCAGCAGGCTTTCATCTCACAAGTCTCATTTTCACATGAAATATGACAGATGGCCTCAAAGGCACGTACGTTGTCCTCTGTAGATGCTCTCTAAGAGACTTGCGATGTAAGTTTGATAACTGATGTAGCAGGATATGATACGATTTGATTCAATGCGATTCAAAACAAAATAAAATAAAATAAAATAAAAAATAAAAAATAAAAAATAAAAAATAAAAAATAAAAACAAGGACAAGGACAAGGACAAGGACAAGGACAAGGACAAGGACAAGGACAAGGACAAGGACAAGGACAAGGACAGGGACAAGGGCAGGGACAAGGACTATCCCAATTAACCAGAAAGTAGTAGGGAGGATGGCTATAGATTGGACAAGTGGAGGGAGTCAAACGCAACAGCCATTCTTCTGGCATAAAAATCAGGTGATTGTGCGCAGTGAGACAAAGCAGAGAAGACATTAATGATTGAATACATGCACGCTCTTTCTTATATACAAGTTTGTCCGCATGTCTGCACTCGAGGTAGCAAATGCAACTCGAGTTGATAATTGAACATCGTGTTTGTTGACCAGCTTGTTACATTTGTTTCTTCAAACCACAACTATGATATGCTACATTCCTACATGCCTGCATATCGCGCTATGATTAGCACAGCCAATGGCCTTTTTATTTATTTCCTCAACCTCTTTGCCTCTTTGCGAAATAAAATTTCTTTTCCCGTTTTCATTGGACTATCAACCGCTCTTTGCGTGTTCAAATTATTGGTCAAAGGCAAATTCACTTTGTGGTGTCACATGTGGAAGGTATTCATTATTCCCATGCAAATAAACATTCTACACAGCCAACACACACAAAGCTTAATCTGACGAATCATTTTTCATTCATGTGCCAAAAGGACATTCCTTAACCCTTTCAATTAATAAAAACGACGACTCAAGCAGAAATGACTAAAAGCAATTGAGCTTTAGTCAACGCATATTGCTAAATGTTGCAAATGTGCAGGTGTACATTTTTAGTCGAATGACTTGAAATGCCAAAGCAACTGTTCCACAAAGACAAGAAGAATTGAATGTATAATTACAATCTTTCATCTTTCATCCTTCATCTTTCATCCTTTCAGACAATCCCCATTGCATTTCTTTTTTATTAGTTCGAATCTCGAACGAACCATATAAGAGATAGGCAAACACGACCGGAGCATGCAAGAAAACATTTTTATACTTGCCACTAACAAACAGTGATTCGAAAAACATTCTTCTCTCAGTGGTGTGGATAGGATATAATTTACAAACAAAAGGAAAGCAATAGACAATGTTTGGCAGCACAATTCCCCATCACGAAGCACACTCTCGCCAACGTAGACTCTGAGGCTCTTTAACTTGTACATGCAAGGTACTCGCATCATAGACGACGATCGCATCCTAGTGATGGAGCTCTGTCTTGATGCTGATTCTGTACTGTCTCGTATTCAGAAGCCTTGGAAAAAGTCTCTCACTTCAATGACTTCAGCCTCTTCGACCTCAACCTCCAATGAAGACGTGGCACTGCGCCAAGGTATTGGCTCAGCTTACTATGAACTTGCTCGCCTACTAAAGCAATTAGGTTACCACAGAGACGAGACAAGAAAGCAGAGAAATGGGATATATCCAAGCGAACAATAACAACGACAACAATAACAACGACAACAATAACAACGACAACAATAACAATAACAACGACAGCAATAACAGCAATATCGCCGCTAACAAACAAGTCAGTAGATCCAGTAGTAACAAGCTGAGCAAGATGATGAAAACAGTGCAATTCACACCAGTGCAGACCATTGCAACTATTTCAAAGGACATATTCAACCATAATGAGCATCCAACAGTCATCAGGCACCACTTACCAGATGTTGATGCAAGTCTGGATGCAGATTGCAGCTGGTGGTAAAGACAAGATATTGTGGCTGTGGGGTGCGAGATCAGGGCAACAGATGGTGATGCTGGTGGACCATGGGTCTTGGATTGAGCAAATTAAGTATTCACCTAATGGCCTAATGGCCAGTAAACTAGAACTCGTTGTGGTAAGGGTCGTTGGCTGCATATGTGGGATGGATCTGGTCAAAAGAAGTTTAGTTTAGAACATGGCCATGGTGCCCTTGGCATACAGTATTCGCCTGACGGGAAGTCTGCTGCCTCATTCACCTGGATGGCGATATATCAGTGGGATATGCAAACAGGAAAAGTCATTCATACTCTTACAGTGAACTATATTTATATCAATGATCTAAGGTATTCACCAAACGGAGAAGTGATAGTCGCTTGCGATCGACGCAATGTAATATGGCTTTGGGACCCCTTTGGGATATTCGAGCAGGGCTAGTCATTCATACTTTGAAGCTAAGAGGCGAAGATGTAGATAACATCTACGATTTTGATTTCTCACCCATTGACCACCAAATTGTCTGTGGTCATGAATCTGGAAATGTGACTATATGGAGCACACAGTCAGGAGGGCTCATCCGCACATTACATAGTGTTGCGATTGGCAGTCATTTATATGGGTTTTTACTTTAGCTAAGGTTTTTACCCTTTTTATTTAACAAAGATCTCTGGATCATAGTAAAGACATCTTTCTTTCGTTCTCGTTACTTATGATGATCCTGGCATATTTCACATAGCCACAATGGATAATGGCGACTAGATTGCTTCATACGATGATTGTATTAATGTCAGAATCTGGAAAGCCCATATCAAGGGATCTCCAGTATGGAGTGAGGAATAAAGAAATCTATTATATGGTATACACGCCTGACAGTCGAAAGATAGTGTCCAAGCTCGGCAGTGAGCACAGCAGCTTGCAAGTACGAAGTGCAGAAGCGGATGAGTTCTGTTTCGAAACACAGTGCAACGGTGGGATTGGCAATTTCACCATGTAGCCAGCAGATGGCCGTTGGAGCCAAGGAGCTGGTTAGTGTGGTGGATATAGAAACGGGCTCAGTATTATGTATGCTCATAGGACACACCAGTTCAGTCCTTGATATGGCTTATTCGTCCGATACAAAGTACATTGCCTCAAGTAGTTATGATATGACAGTGCGAGTGTGGGATCCAAAATTGGGCCAGTGTTTGACTATAATCCCATTTGAAGGGGGAGAAGCTACGGTGCTTGTATGGACCGCTTCAGAGGAGAGGCGCTATCTTGCTACTGGCTGTCGTGGTGCTTCTGTTCGTATGTGGGAAATTGTGAAGGAGAATGAAGTATATCAACACCGCTTAAAGTGGAGCACCAGACAAATAGCGCTGAATGCAAATAACACTCATATTCAAGATGTAGATGGGTTAAGTGGAGCCAACAGGAAGCTCCTGGTGCAATATGGAGCTATAGAAGAGCAATCCTCCCCTTTGGCTGAACACGAGGCGACCAAGAGTGTAGGAACGCCATCAATAACATCCAAGGCCAAGAGTACGTCCAGTCAAGTGGACCATTATCAAGAATCATTAACGAAGGCAGATTTGGAGGCAAAAGGTCTGAGCGAAGGAGCACCATTGACAAGGTTGGCAGAAATAAACCAATCAATAGGCGGCTACCTACTCAAATGCAGAGTGTGCAAGGAATGTAGTATTGCACATGTCATTTCATGCGAACCTTGTGAGTCAAGATAAGCGGGAAGTGGTTCAGGATATAGAATAAAGTGCGAACATTGCCTCTTTACAGTAAAACCATAAAAAAAGAAAGTGCTTCTTGAATTAGATAGGATTGCTTGAGAGAGATTACTGTATTGATAGGAAAACGTTGAGTAGCTACATCTTTATACCAAAGGTCTGAACAATCCCAGCCTGTCTGAGCCAAGTAGGCTATAGCATCATTTAAACGCTCATTAGTTGCTATAGGTGAGCCCGCGTACCAAGTAGTCCGGGTACATCTTCTGTCTTTGTGGCATGAAATATGCTTGATATATTTTATTTTTATTTTTTCTTTATTTTTTATACGCGTTAGGCTCATGTATATACTTTCTGTTCATGCTCAAGGTTAGGAAATGATGCGGAAAAAAGAAAAAAGTGCAAACCTTGTGGGCTTCGAAGGCTTGGCTTTGGTTGAGTGCCCGTGGTTACTGACTTTGATTGCTCCTGGTCGGTTTTGGCTTTGGTAGTCTTACCTTGATCGCAGCAAACTGACTGTGTTTGATTAACTACGGCTACTTTTGATTGCTTTGACTAAGGTTTTCTGTCTTTGGTTTTGTTGAGGCAGTCTCAGGCTGATATGACTGAGACAACCTTCTATCGGCGCTGGCAGTGACATAACTGCTATCTGCTGCTTGCTTTCTGGCTTCCGGTCTCTGGCTCCTAGCTTCTGATTTTATTTTGAAGTTTTTTTTTAAAACTTTTTTTATATTGGCCGTTGGCTGTTGGCTGTTGCTTGCTAGCTCTGAGAAAATCTCTCCAGGAGCCCTATCTTGCTCTGGTGCTCTTTCCCGAGCCCTCTGCTTCCCTCCAAGGATCGTAGGCTTTGCTCCTCCAAGTAAAATCCCATTGCAGTGGTCTGTAGAACGGCTGACTAATGGAACCTCACTTTGGTCAGAGCAACTTGGGTTCAGATGGTAGGGAACAGGGGTCGCACAACATGACGCCTCTACGCCATGCACTCACTACGACCAGGCGTCCCTGGCGCAGCATCGCTAATTGGAAAACCTAAGGATGGTAAGTTAGTAGCAATAAATTGTTCACAAACCCTTATAGAGAGCACTGAGTTGCCAAGGATTCCATCTAAACAGAGACATTGAAAGTAAAGGTAAATAAAATTAATATGTTCTTTGTGTCTTTTTTTTTCTTTTTTAATCTACCTTAGAAGTTACCGGGCCTCGATAACATCTGGCCCTAGCCCTAGCCCTAGTCCTGATCCCGATCTTGCTGAAGGGGAAATCTTCTTGGTGGCCGAGGCTCGGGCTCTACAGGATCCAGTGAACAATTCATTGATACTGACTTACCATTCTTAGGCTATCGTAACTGTGTGTCCTCCAGTTGAATGCTCGAGTCCAGGCTGGTCTTTTGTACCATTATCCTCGCTCTCCAGTACAAGCACGACACCATCGCTAGCGGACTCGGTTGAAGTTAATGGTGGTTCGTAGTTATCAGGCGCATGATAGTCTGTCAACGGCTCCAATGATCTTAGCACAACCCCAAAAAATTTGATTCTGAGTGCCCTCACGCTCCTCGTCTCTCACCTTCATCTTCACCTTCATATTCACCCCCGTATTCTATGCCACATCTGTATCAACTCCTTGAGCGGCTTCATCGTCCTGGTACTGCTCTTGTGATTCATCATCTTCTCGACTGGAGAGCCCCACGCCTCGCTCCATTTCCTGCCAACGGCTTCGTGTAAACTCTTCCCGTACTTCTCCTGATCACCATCCTCTTCATTTTCATTAATTTCTTCCCCATCTTCATCTCCCTGCTGCTCTTCATCATCATCGTCATCATCATCGCGATTCTGCTCTGCATTTTCGTAATAACTGATCTCATGTGAAGACTGAGGTAAAGCTCGCTCTTCCTTATCGAATTTATAGTCTTGTTCTTCATCGCTATCATCTAACGATACGATACCAGCTGTTGCTGCTGCTGCTACAGAACGATAGGAATATCCACTTCTAATGGTGTTAACTGTATCAATATTGTTTTACTCCCCCTTATCTTCCACTTCCTCTTTCTTTTCGTCTTCGTCTTTCTCTTCGTCACTCCTTGTTGTTGCTACCGGCAGATTGACGTCAGAGGGGGGCAACATGTATCGATAATTGACCGACGATGTTGCAGGCTCGGATGCTGTTTTTGCTATTGCTACTTCGGAGATCAGTGGTCGTACCGAGGAGGATGGAATGCTCTTGCGATGATCATCAGTGTAAGTTGTGGCCGTGGCTGGTTTTTGATACTACTTTAGCTGTGGATGAGATGAGGCAATAGTATATTGTTCTTGTGCTATATTGCTGCTTTTCCCCTCATTGCTCTTTGATAATAACCTGTTACTACTATCACTCCCATCATAACTACCCGACGATGACGACAACGACAACGACAAGGGTTGTGTAGACACGTCCGCGGTAGACATGATGCGCTTAAACATCCCTTCTAGAGCATTTGCAGCCGGTGGTTTTGGTGGTAATAGACGCAGACGCTTCCTATGCTTCTGGTAATCAATATTAGGCCCATGGACTAGTCAATGTGAAGCGCTTCTTTCCATGCCTCATCCGTAAGATCAGTGGATTCCCTCTCAATGATTTGAATGAAACTAGACAATAGATTAGATAAAGTGTAAGTAAGTGCTGAGTCAACTATGAGTGCTGTTGATGCTGAAATGCCGAAAGAAGCTTTTTTAATAGAAAAAAATTAAATACATATAATTTATTAGAGTACATTGAGTAATTAATGCCATTGAAAATGCTAATGATAATGCTGACGATATTCTAATGATAATGCTGATGATAACTTAATGATAATGCCAATGATAATGATCGTAATGATGGTATTGATAATGGTACAAGGTAAAAATAAGCAAAGAAATAAATATATAATACGTGGTGGAAGCATAACAAAAACCAAGGACTATAGTAAAAGACGAAGGGTATCATGCTGGCCTGGAAGTGGTGTAGGCGCTCTGCGACCTAAGAGAAGCCTGTACCATCCCACTCCAGGCCAACATATTCGTCTTTGACTCCTTCTGTGCGGATACGCTTCCGCATGACCGCGCCAACGTCCTTGGGAATTAGCGGCCACTCTTTACAATATTGGAAACCCCATCTCTTGTACGCACCTATAACAGGGCCAAGTGCGTACAGGAGAATGTCTTTGTTTCGCCTTTGGGCGATTTTGAGGATCCTATCCATCAAAAAAGCCCCGATTCCCATTTTTTGATATTTTTGTGCGACGCAGATCTTGTCGACATAAATGTACGACTTCATAAAGATGAACTGCGTCACCCCTCGGACTGTGATGTCGGCCAAATCCTTTGAAGGGGCCGACGACACAAAAATATCAATGGTGAATCCGTCATCAAGACTGGAATCCAAAGACAGGTCCATATTGTATTGATAGAAGGAGCCTTGGATGAGGTCACTCGCCTGTTGAAACAACACCCGCTGTGCTGCTTCAAACTTCAAGGCAAGCTCTGACTGGACTGTGAAACAGTATCCATTCAGGTGATCCTTACCACCGTCGACAATTGTCTGCGGATGATAGATCACGCCGGACTCAACCACTGTTCCGGCAGCGTTGCTATATTGAAGAGGGAATGCAGCACGCTCTGGGAGTGTCTGATCATTGTCTTCATCCAGGTCTGAGTTGTAATCCCAGCAAATACTAAGGTAGTTGCCGAGATTCTTCCGTGAGTTCCCCCATCCGCAAATGTTCACTATTGTAAATTTAAAACAGATGGTTAGAATAATCAATGTTACATTTTGATATTATTCAACTCCTTATGTTATTTGCGTCTCTTAAAGCTACTTACAGTTGCGTTTCTTGAACACTGCGGTCTCTCTGGCGGCCTTAGATGAAGCTTTGTAGCTTTCTAGTCTTTTGGCTCGCCATTGTTGGTCCCGCTCTTCCCAACTGGTATTAATGGAGGCAATATGGCGGGACCCGGTTGGTTTATATTGCCTCCTGCGTCTCTCCAGGGTGGTTTCAGGTAGGGAACCGTCATGGAAACCATCCTCTGGGTTCGACTCTAGTACAGAGCCCTGCTCCACACCTGGTCGCAAACTATGGTGTGGAACAGCCTGTACTTTGGCTGGCTCGACTTCTTTCTTTGTTGCGGCTACGCTGGTTTGACGGGCTTTGAAGCCAGCAGCCACGATCACTTTTGAGATAATATTATTATCGTTAACAGAATGAGATTAGATATACAGTTAATGCCCATTATTCCTCCACTCACCACAAAATATAAAATAAAACAAATTAAAATAAAATAAGTGACTTACAACCACGGCTTTTCAAATGGGCATTGGTGCGTTTGCCCCGCTGATCCGCATGGAACTCTTGGACTTTGATATTCCTTTCAAAGTTCCTATATGCGTCTGTCAGCGCCAGGTTGCACCGCGTACCGCTCTTATATTGAAGTCGTCTTTTGTATTGGTCTAGTTCAACTCCTCTCGGAGATGTAGAGGTACCGAGAAGTTCCATATTTGATGGGAACTTGGAGTGAATGTGAGACCTGTGTGGGGTTGTGATTACCTCCCCCACTATACCAAAGAGAAAAAGAAAAGAAAAGAAAAGAAAAACATCAACGTCAGTTTACTATTTATTGTGAATTTCTTTCAGTGTGTATATATATAGATATACGTATATATAAATCAAATACTTACCATCTTTAACAATTCCAGCCATTTTTTTGCGAATCCTATCGCTGCGACGCTGTTGGACTGGGGTGCCAGCAGAATCGGGTGTATCTATGCCACAAACCATTTTAATAATCACCGAAAGAGAAATAATAAATAAAAAGAATGAGCACTCTATGGATGAGCATTGGAATACTGGATAACTAAATGGTATCGAACGATACATTTCCTACTATAGACATCATAAAAGGAAATAAAAAGATGTAAATGAACTTACTGTGTGATTTGGTCTTAGTTCTACGTGATGGAGTCTTGGCTCCCTCCGCCGGAATAAGGCCCGCGTCACTCATTGCTGCAGTTGTCCTGATGAGTGTGTTGCAGGCGTATGGGCCTTATAATAAAATATAAATCTAAACAATGGGTCAATAACCCTTTTGATAGAGGCAACATATGCTATAGAAATGCCAATAGAATTAGACAAAAGTTAGATATTTTTATTTTGTTTTCAATGACACGTGTCTTGATGCTTCCAAAGCCTTTAGCCTTTAGATTTCAATATTATAACTTCAACACCTCGTACTTTTCTTCTCAGTTACATAAGAAAAAAAATAAAAAATTACAAAATGATGTAAAGTGGTGGCAAAGTTGGTAACATCACATCTCGGACACGGTGTTGTTATGCTTATTACATGTAGTCGTACCTTATATTTGTGGATCGATACTTGACTCGCCGCTGAGTCGTGCTGATAAGTAGGTGCTGTTAAAGGATGAACTGATTATGGTGACAAGGGCATTTTTTTTAAAAAAAAAAGATAAAAGAGAATGACTACAGGTAACGAATGGTGCAGAACACAGGTTGGTATTTATTCAATGGGAGAAAAGAGATATGAGATATGAATAGAGTGTGTTTATGTGAAGATGCTTTTTCGTAAATGAAATGTTAAAAGAAAAGAGAGTTGAGTGTGTGTGTGAAAAAGAGAGGTATTTATACAAAAAAAAAGATGTATGACTGGCTTGTTGCCCCTCACTCACAGCATACACACATACACTTTTAGTTACAACCAGACTATCAACGTTCATTCTTTCTGCTTTGATGACACAGTTGTTTTCAGCGGACGACTGCAAGCTGAACACGAGTGAACTGACTTGACCCGTCGCCACCTTTGATGTCATCATTTATCACAAATTCACGCCGCTCTATTGAGTAGATACTGTGCGAGTGCTCATGTGAGCAAAGTTCTGCCTGACAAGAACCAACCAAGGCTTTCATTCTGTCATCAAAAAAATAAAAGCTTTCATTTTATTGCCCTCAACTAATAAGATTAAAGAGTTCTCTGCTGCGGCTTATATTGATGCATGAAAACAACTTTTGAAAGTCATGATTGGAGTGAAAGGGGTAAAGTAAGGTCTATTTCCATTTGTTTTTTAGGATCAGGATTGGACAGACTGTGTGACCTGCTGCCTAGATCTCGGCAAACAACGCGGCCGTTAATCTTTTTTGAGAATAGTTCAGTTGGTAGAATGGTATAGCATACTTATATTTCCTTTATAGCTATCGATTTTTCCATTTTTGAAGGGAGAAAGAAGGAATATACTTTTGTCATTCTTTTTGTGTTATCGATACGATGTTTTACAGCGATGTAAAGGAGATCGGGTATCCTGCTGCTAAAGGAATAAATAATAGTACTAATAGTTACTATATGTCAGCAACAAAGAAAGTTGTGGACTACAGTAGCAAGCGAATGAAAATTTAAAGGGATAACGCGTTCAGAAGGTATTGCCCCAAAGTTATTAATTTTTCCGCCATGACACCTTTGGTCTCTATTTTCTGGTTGGTCGGAGCCCATTTTGAATCTGAACGTTCAAACGGCAGACAAGGGACACAGACATTGTCCATCTCGGTAAAATTGACCTTTCTTACCTCCAAATGCCACATGAATGATGGCAGCCTGTCTCTGAGAGTAAACAGCTACACATCAATATTAGCCATGTCCATACAGTCATGGCGCGAGGCGGCGCTGTTATCCTTCATGTATATTTTTATTATTTATCCCTAATTTTGTCCTTTCTTTTATATATCATTCTCTTTGATGACAGTGCAACAATAATGTGGAGAAATATCAGGTGGACGAAAGATGGTCAAGGCGGCATGGTATAGCACTAAAGAGGGCTCATAGAGCAGCGTTGCTCATGGAGATGTTGATACTCTTGATACTCATGTGTATACCATGTCACTTGTGTATATGTCTTCCGACGTAGCAATCTTGATGTATAATGTGCTGGAAAGCAAATCTGTTTACTTCAGATACGAGTGTACAAATATCTCAGAGGACTGAGTATGAAAAGAACCATTGAGTCGAGTATAATGAATGATATAAAACAATGTATTATATGGATATATCTTGTAGCCGCCGACGAGGGCTCTTTGGTGGATCGTACTTGAAGAAAGGGAGAGAGGATGAATAATGAGTGGTTTTTGAAATCGCTCAAGGAAAATAGTAAGTGAAACCAATTTGCGATTTCAAAGTATTGACTGAGTAATGAATATGCTTTTTTGGCTTTTTTGTGTGTGCAAAAAAAATAAAATAAAATAAAATAAAAAAGCGGCATAGCGGATGTTGAAAATGGATAACCAACGCACCAATGAACTCATCCGTCAATTTTCATATGTTTGCAAGGTGGAGAAAGAGAAAACTCTCACGGGTGGAGGTGGGATGGGAAGAGCATTAATAGTATTCCATCCTCAAAGACCTGCAAGACCATACAACAACGACTTTGTCCACCGAAAAGAGCACGAGCCACATCGCTCTCTTTGCATGAGAGAAAGAATGACAGTGAGCAGTGTGATGCGACTAAAGTAAAAGGACGAGATTCAGACCACAATAGCTTATCAACACTCACATGCTCCCATTCTCAACCAGCATTGAGCCCGAGTGCCTTTTTTTTTGCTTAGCAATGGGCCATCAGAGAGTACCAGTCAAACTTGCTACTTGACTTTCTTCTTCTCTTCTCTTTCTTCATCCCTAACAAGGAGTAGGATGCATTGTCGTGGGAACTGTGCTTTGGCAGTTCTTGCTCGAACAGACTTTTCCTTTTTTTCATTTTCAGAACGCCAAGGAAATACAATACGTCATTCCCTCGATACGGTTGGATGCCTTTTATTGGTCGATACATAAACGTTGATACTTTATTCACCTTCAAAGAAGCTATAAATGCTAATCACTAATCTTTATATATTCCATATTCTCTTGATTGAAAATAAAGAAATTAAAATTAAAATGGGCGCAGAGGTATCTTGAAAGTTGTCATGTGTCATTTTCTATCACACTCTGGAAAAACGGCAATCTGCCGAAGTCTCTTGTTAGGACCGAAGAAAGAGAATAGAAGAAGAGGATAAAGAAGATGGTCTCCTTTACCAACAAGAGTAAATAGCTCGAGGGCAATGCAGCTCATGCTCTGGTTGGTTACAGGCAGATTTTTATTACGAGTCTTGAAGACAGAGTGCTTTCCCTATCTCTAATCGTGAGGGTCTCTTCATTGCCATATGAGAGATGAGAGATGACATCAAAGGCACGTATACTTTTTTTATTTTATCTTTTATTTTTTTATTCTATCTTTTATTTTATTGCTTATCTTTGATTGGTCGCTCTTGAGCGTACAGCAAGCAAGGTACTTAATACATCACGCTTTTGAAATCCTTTCACCACTCGTTCCTTCTCCTCTTCTTTTGCGGACATGAGAAAAAATAAGAAAACAAATATAAAAAGAATCAGTTTTGACCCTCTTCTTTTTTTCTCTCTTTCTCTTCGGTCACGTCGACCATAGGCCTTCTCAGTCAAGACAAAAGGTAAGCAACGCTCTCCAAACATTCACCCCTACTGAAGTTCTAAACACTATCGCTCGGTGCTCCACTGTTCTTGTTCTGATGTTTCTTTTCCTGTCTATCTCTTTCTTTTCATTCCATGACTAGACTGTAAGCGACATGAATCCATTTAAACCAGCTGAGCCTCGATAGCTCGCAATGAAGCTGCCGCAGTCGCACTTAAACAAAGAGCCGCTGTGCCCAAACAGCCGCACTTGAACAAGCTGCCGTATCTAAACAGCCGTGCTCAATCGACCCCGCACAAATGGTCCGACTACCACATTCGAGCAGCCAGCTCTCTTCAGTGGTCAAACAGCCAGCCCGCCTCCTAGGCATGATGGCTAAATAACAAAGGCTTCTCGAGCAACGCCGGCCATAACAGTCAGACCATTCCCCGCGGCATGCTCTAAAAGGCGCTAGTACTGAAATCTGGGGATAGCCAGCTAAGGAACTAAACCAAAGAAGCCAAAAACAAATGCCTTGGAAAAAAAAAATCACAAAGAATTAAAAAAAAAAGATACAAAAGAATATGAAAAAAAGGAAACTAAAGTAACAAGAAAAAAAAAGAACAAAACAAAAAAAAAAGAACAAAAAGAAAAGAACAAAGAAAATATCCAAAAAAAAAAAAAAAAAAAAAAAATCCACAAAGAAAAGCATCTAACAAAAAAAAAATCCACCAAAAAAATTTCGAAAATAAATATACAAAAAAAAAACAAAGAATAATAAAAAGTCAAGAAAAGAAAAGCCAACAAACAGCCAAAAAAAAAAAAAAAAAAAAAAAAAAAAAAAAAAAAGGAAAACATAAACCAGAAAAAGATAATAAAAAAAAATCTCAAACTAGAAGAAAAAAAAAAAAAAACCTCTCACTAACACAAAGCACTCTTTGACATAGCAACAATGCACATCCAAGATGCAACAATCAATGCATATCTAAGGTGGGTCCGAACGGGCATGAGCCTACGCTGGTTCTTGAATGAGCCATGTGGTGGCGGAGCCCCTTCGACTGGGAATGGGAATGGGAATGGGTAAATAAATGTGTGTGTGTGTGTGTGCGGGCGTTTGCAAGGCCATGGGGCCTGACCAACGGAGCACGATATGCCAGACCACCTCCACGTGGTGTGCTCCGGACAACATCTTGGAGAGTCTTTTCGATGGAGACAAAGGAAAGCACTTTCCAAGATGGCTAAGAGTCTGGCTTCTTGTAGCTTAGAATAGTAGGCAGGTAAGCTAGATAGCTAGATAGCAAACATTTACTAATAAAAAAAAAAAAACTAAAATAAAACAGGCTTTGAAGCTCAGTGAATCATCTAAAATGCACGAAGAGTCCAGATAATGAACTTGAAGATGTCCTTTGTCGCCTTGACATTCCATAAACAGAAACCTCTTGCGGCACGGCATCCAAAGGAAGCACTCATGCTAGTTTGTACATAATGCTTAAAGAAGCTGCTGCAGTCAATGAGGGCACAGAAAATGCAAATGTGAACGCACTGTAACACGGTAAGCGCCTGTAACAACCAAAGCAGCAGTCCGAAATCATTGACTAAGAAACAACTCAGTATGAGTTATATTGATTACGGAACTCGTTCGGCAAATCAAGTACGGCTTACTACCAATAGCTGACACAGTTTAGTCCATTGGCTTTGCTGTTGACTGTCGCTACTAATTTCCTATTCCTATTTGAGGACATTCACTCACAATAATCACAGACCCATCACATTTTTAGACAAAAGACAAAGATCATTGTATCTGATCTTGTCTTTTAATATTTATTATCAATTGTTTACTATGCTGCGGTTTCCAAGCTGTATCCTGGCTCAGGAGTGGTGATGCCCTTGGTACGTGTGCATGACTAGATATTTCCTAGTCGGCTTGGATTCTTTTGATGATGCTTCTTAGTATATCCTTTGATGCCGCCTTGGCTAACTGGCCTTGCTAACCTTGGTTGACTGGCCCTAGTGGCCTGGCTTTAGGTTAGCTGCCCTTGGTTGACTGCTTTTGATTGTCTGGACTCTTATCGGTTGCCCTTGGTCGACTTTGGCTTTGGTAGTCTTTGATTCCCTTGATTGCAGCAAACTGTGTTTGATTGATTGTGGCTGCCTGGCTGTCTTCGATTTCTTTGACTAAGGTTTTCTGTCTTTGATTTTGCTGAGCAGTCTCTAGCTGCTATGGCTGAGCCAACCTTCTACCGACTTTGGGCCTTGGCTAGCTTTCATTGAGATTTCTTTTGGTTGAGTGGAGTGAGCTGGTTGGTTTTTTTTTTTTTTTTTTTTTTTTTTTGCAGTGGCTGGCTGCTATCTGCTGCTTGCTTTCTGGAGTCTGGCTTCTGAATTTTTGGCTTCTGGCTTCTGACTTTTGGCTTCCGGCTCCTGGAATCTGGGCTCTAGCTTCAAGGGTTTTTTTTTTTTTTTTTTTTTTTTTTTTTTTTTTGGTTTTTTTTTGGGGGTTTATATATGACCGTTGGCTGTTGGCTGTTGGTTATTAGCTCGGGGACTATCTCCCCCAGCCGCTCTACCTCGGTACGATGCTCTTTCCGTGGGCTGTAGGCCTCGCTTCTCCAAGCAAAAGTCCCATTGCTGTAGTCTATCGAACGGCTAGTCAATGGAACCTCGCTTTGATCAGAGCACCTTTGGTTCAGATGGCAGGAGACAGGGGTCACACAACATGGTGCCTCTACGCCATGCACCCACTACGAGCAGGCGTCCCTGACGCAGCATCGCTAATTGGATAACCTAAAAATTTTAAGTCAGTAATAATGAACTATTCACAAAGGCCTATAGAGCACCGAGTTGCCAAAGATTCCATCTAATCAGAGAGAACGAAAGCAAGAGTTAATCTCTATTTGACAACCCGGGTTGTCGCTCTTATTTGACAACCCCCTTTATTTATTTTGCTCAATTTTTTCTTGCGTGACAACCCGGGTTGTCAAATAGATTAAGGTTATTTTTAAGGTTATTAGGAAAAACATACAGTAGTATATTAACTGGCTTGTGGCAGCCAAGCGTTCATAGCGACGTTGCTTTTTGATCCTTCGATGTCGGCTCTTCCTATCATACTGAAGCAGAATTCAGTAAGCGTTGGATTGTTCACCCACTAATAGGGAACGTGAGCTGGGTTTAGACCGTCGTGAGACAGGTTAGTTTTA